TGCAGGCCCACACTGAAGTTTTGCCTTTCTCAGATGCATGAAATTCATCAGTGTTCTCCATTTTTGTCTTGAATTCCATCAGGATTTCCCAAGCACCTGCTGTGTACAGGTCATCCTCATCCACGTGAACACTTTGGTCACCAAAGTTGTCAACAGACCTGATAGGGATCATTCGTCTTTTAGTGATGAGGGGAGGTAAGTGGCCCGAGTCTTCTGGTAGAGGAGCTGTGGCTGCCATCTGTATTCTGCCTGAGGAGACTGTCAGGCTCCTGAGGTTGCTCCTTATCCTGCTGTGCCGTGAATGATACACTAAGAGATCTGGAGACACGTAGTCTAGGCCCTCAGAACTGGCAGTGACATCTTCAGCATCAGCCTGGAACTGGGCGTCCATGAAAAAGGGCTATTTGGCAGGCGCTGTGCCACTGAGCTATATCCCTGGTCTAAAAGGGCTCTTATTCGGAAGGTGCTTTCCTGCCTGCAAAAGGGCCCGAGTCACTAAATCACATCAGCAACCGGCCAAGGTGTTGGCACCTGACCACGACTGACTGGTGCTGGCACATGAGTTCTGGCTTTGACTCTTCTGTGTGACATGGGGAAATGTTTCTTTTTTTTTAACGCCGAATGCCTTCAAGGCATGACTGGCTGTATTGTGTTGTGGGGATTGAACCCAAGCAACCTGAGCCTGACTGTTTTGTTGAAGCAGCCACTTAAAGAACTGAGCTACCGGGCGGGCCCCAATGTTTCTTCACTTGAGTCTTGGTTTCCTCATCTGTAAAATAGGCTCTGACTGCACAGGGTGCTATGTGGGGGTGGGGAGCGCGAAGCCTCTCCTGAGCACTGAGCATGCCCTCAGTCCTCCTGGAGCACTACTGATACTTTTTCATCCTATCCTGGTTTACAACGAGGAAACCAAAGTCCAAAGAAGCAAATGAGTAACAGTTCACTCATTCTTCTTAATTCATCATTTTCAGTCAGATGAGGCTGCTCCTCAGGGTGGTCTGACAAATATTTCCTCTTGATTTGATGTATGATGGCTAAGGAATAGGAAAAAATTTCCATGGGGCATTTAAAAGGCTCAGGGAACGAAAATATCAGAGCAAATCTGTCACGCTTACACCTGAAAATGACTCTGCCAAGATGGGGAAGTAGAGCGGAAGAGGGAGGAGCTGGCCTGGGAGCAGGGTTTAACATGCTAGCGAGGACTGCCTCTCTCAATAACAAGACGTCTGCCCAAGGACAGCAGTGCTTACAAGTCAGCTCCCTCTGGTTCCAAAAACAGCAATGATTTCTCAGAAACCTTCCTAGCAAAAGCAGCTCTTCCAAAAACGTGAATGCTTCAGTGGACAAGTGATGTAAGCTCTCTTTTGTTGGGGAGTAAATGGATTTAAACTAGGACACATAAAGAAGCATCCAAAGGTGTTGAAGCAGTTGAGAAGGAAGCCAAAGATTGGCATAGGGATTACAAGCACTGGCTGTGGACAAATGGCCACCCAGCCCAGCGGGACGCAGTCATTTTTCGTGATGATCCCACTCCAACTAACATTTCTCTAATGTTTATTATGTGCCAGGCCTCAGGCCAAGAGCTTTTCCTTGCAAGCTCCATCTAATGCCAGGAAGCCTGAGGAGGTGGCATCATCTGCTTTATTCAAATTTGGGAGACAGGAGCAGAGCGGATGACTCACTGGCTGGGCGCGTCTCTGTTCCCTGAACTCCAAGCACAGTGCGAGCCTGTTTCTGGGCCCAAGAGCTGGTGGCAAGGGTGCAGGCTTTTCTTGGGAACTTTTTGGATTTCCCTACCACATGGCTCCTAGGGCCCAAAATTCAACATCATTTTTCTTTTTTTTTTAAATTTTTTTTTTTTATTTTTATTTGAGAGAGAGAGAGAGAGAGAGAGAGAGAGAGAGAGAGAGAGAGAGAGAGAGAGAGAGAGAGAGAGAGAGAGAGAGAGAGAGAGAGAGAGTGTGGTGTGTGTGTGGCCAGCTCAGCCCACCAGGGGGCGGGGCTGGCTGGCATGTGGTGCTGGGGGATTGAACCGCGGTCCCTGATGCCTTGCCAAGCTTGTTCTAAGTAGGTGCTTTAGACCACTGAGCCATCTCTCCAGCCCCCTCAACATCATTTTTCTAACAGATTCAAAAAAGAAAGCCACAACAGGGGATACAAATTTTTAATATATTTTATTGATTTAGGGGCCAAATAAGGCAGCATCTGGTCAGTTAAGAAAGGCACCTCATTGAAAATACATCATACAGTGCTGTGAAATGATTTGTCACAGGACTTGAGGGTGGAAAGGGCAATTCTGTGGGTCATACAGCTTAGGACACTTGCTCATGTATTTTTCGTAATTTGTTTCGTTTCTTTGTGGTGCTAAGGACCAAACACAGGTAAGTGCTGAACTGCCGAGCTATGTCCTGAGCCTTGCTCATTTATTGAAAAGGGCCCGTCCACACACCATGGATGAAAGAAGTCAAGGCTGCAGGTGGTATGTACTGGGTGGCTCTAAGTGCCCAGCTCTGAGAGCAGGTAGACTGGCAGGTCAGCGGTAGGTCGGGCAAGGGAGCCAGGCTTGTGTCCCCACTCCTCATGACTCCAGTCAACTTCATCTACTGAGCCCTCACTCCTGAGAGCTCACCCTTATCTCTTTCAAATGTCAAGCTGACAGTTTGGTCTGTGTGGTGAACCAAGATCCACAAACACTCCCTATTTCCAGCTATAACACAGACAGGACCACAGTTCCATTTCCTGCC